TCCTCCTTATTCCCCCATTCACATTCACGCCATAACTGTTTAAGAATCGGATACCTTTGGATGAAGATAGGATATGTTGGGTTCTCGATTTGGGTTCGCCAAAACAATCAATTGGGTCCCAATCTGAACCATCAATTCGGCGACGGGCAAGAAATTATTATTTTTTTAATCAGAAGGATGCAAAGAAGAAGATGAATAGTGTTTGTATTTGTGTATATATATATGTGTGTGTGTGGGTTCTATGGACGCCAACAGTATTCCTTGTTGGGTAGGTGGGGATGATCCATCATCCTAGTTTTCTTTGTTTGGGTGTAACAGTAAAGGGAGAGAGAGAGGTTAGGTTTGCAAGAAATTTATTTTTTAAGATGCGAAGAAGAAGATGAATAGTGTTTTTTCTATTTCCCAACTTTTTCTCTCAACACCACCACCGCCCCCAAATTATTGTATCAATTATCTTTAAAGCATACAAGAAGTCAGTCCACGGTAGAAGAATCGAAACAAAACTGAATCGTAGAAGTTTCATTCATAAACTCCATAGTTGGCACAATAATTTACATATTATAATCCTTAATTCCATTATAGCAAGACAACTCATAACCCCCCTTAGTATGCATATTCTACAGTATCAACAACGATGATTGGAACATTCCCAAATATTAGGTCTGTTTTAAATTCTATATACTTAATATGAAACCTTATTTCTCCACACCAATCTCAAATAGATAAAATAAGGAATGAAGGCAGTAAAAGACCCCCCAAAAAAACCTTCACAGTTCAGACCATTGAACTGCTAAACAATAATTTGATCTTGCTCTGCACTTGTTTTATTACTTTCAGCTTGAGACAAGCTTAAAACTTCAGTCGTTGCCTCTTGTGGAGCTTGTGTCTCAGCAACTACGTTGTTCTGTTTGATTCTCTTGCTTTCGCCCAAGTATTAATTAATCGAGTATTAATTAAATTAAAGGTTATTTTGTAACTACTTGAAACATACTAATATTTTTCTTTTCAACAAGTCTTGGTGAGTAAATTATGGACATCATGGTGCATGTACAAACAATAAAAATGTACAATTGTGGATGAGATGACAACATCCACAATGAGATTCCATGATGTATGTTATTTGTCAATGATATTGTTTTACTTGATGAAATTAGAGAAGGAGATAATGCCAAATTGGAGGTTTGGAAAGAGATTTTAGAATTGAGAGGGTTAATAAATAGAAACAAAATTGAATACATGGAATTTAAATTTGGTAAATCTTCCGTTATGGAAACCGCAAAGGAGGTGTAGTGAGAATTGAAATCAAGAGGCACAAAAAAAAATGATCATTTTGGTTGTTTAGCTTCAATTATTCATAATGAATGAGAAATTGGAGATGGTGTTAATTATAGAAACAAAGCAAGATTGGTTAAATAAAGGAGTACATGTAGTATACTGTGTGATAGTTTATCCTCTTAAGATTGAAAGAGAAATTCTATTAAACTACTTTTAGACACATACTTTATGTAACATAATGTTAGCCAGCTAGGAAACTACTTATACAAATTAAGATTGTGACGAACATGCGAATGTTGAGATGGATGTGGGGTAGGACTAAAAATGATAGAAATTATCACATTCGAGAGATGGTTGCAGTAGCACAAATTGGCGATAAAATGAGAAAAAAATGGTTAAGATGATTTGGAAATGTGCAAAGAATACCTTTAAATGTTCCACTTAGGATGAGTGACATAGTCATCTAGTATAATACAATGAGAAGAAGAAGACCAAAAGTTAATATTAGTTGAGTTAGTAAATAAGAATATGATATGATTTTAATCTTAGATAGAATGGAATGAAAATATGCATATGATTCATATAACCAATCCCAATGAGTTAGGAAGAAGCCTTGGATTATTGTTGTTATATTCGCAAGAATGACTGCTTCCATCCTAGTTGTACCTAGCAGAACTTTGATGTGCACGAGTTCATCAAGCCATTTTGATTAAAAGTCAATCATATTGATTTAAGTGAATCTCATAATTCATCTAATTAAAATGTGGGATTACCTGGGATAAGAATTTGTTAAAGAGAAGGGTTAGTTCGGTCCTACAAATTTGCTAGAAGCCTAAAAAGCTTTCTTAAATTTTATATTTCATTCTATCTTGTTTATCATTTTTATTTTTTAGGGTAAAGTACAGTCACACCCCCTGAGGTTTAACAAAAAGACACTCGGAGGAAACTTACTTGTTTTTTGGACAAAGACGAAGGTTCAAAAATGGATAAAGACACCTCTTTACATAAAAAATTGACCAAATTACCCTTTGACTTTTAGGAGACTTTTTTAACTTTACAATTTAATAAATTGAACCAATCTACCCTCATGAATAATTTATGCATAAAAAAAGTAAGAAAAAAACTTTATATTGTTCACTACTTTTTTTTTTTTACTTTATAAATGTCCCAACTTCTTAAAAACGTAAACGTCTAAAATGATTTTTTGATTCAATACATATATTTCAAATAAATTATATTTTACTATTACTTCTTCTCTTTTTCTTTTTCTTTTTAAATTTAGGTGCTTTCATCTAAAAAAATTAAACCAATTAGTTTTCCTTAAAAATAAAAAAATATTGTACTAGTATAACTTTATGCATCTTAAATTATATATAAAATATTATGCATTTCCCAACATAAAAGAAAATAAGTACTGGTATAACTTTATGCATCTTAACTTTATGCATACCTTTTTTTTTTTTATTTCCCTTTGTTTTTTTTTTTTTTTTTTCCTTTGTTTTATTATTATTATTTTTTTTCTTTTTATGTTGGGAAATGTATAATATTTTATATATAATTTAAGATGCATGAAGTTATAATGGTACCATATTTTTTATTTTTAAGGAAAAGAGATTAGTTTAATTTTTTAGATGAAAGAATTAAACATCTTAATTTAAAAATAAAAAAGAAAAAGAAAAGAAATAATAACAAAATATAATTTATTTGAAATATATGTATTGGATCAAAAAATCATTTTAGACACCTACTTTTTTAAGAAGTTGGAACATTTATAAAGTAAATAAAAAAAAAAAAGTGAACAATATAAAGTTTTTTATTTTTTACTTTTTTTTTTATGCATAAATTGTTCATGAGGGTAGATTGGTCCAATTTATTAAATTGTAAAGTTAAACAAGTCTCCTAAACAGGTCGAAAGGGTAATTTGGTTAATTTTTCATGTAAATTGGTGTCTTTATCCATTTTTAAACCTTTAGGGGGTGTCTTTGTCTAAAAGCAGGTAAGTTTCATCTGAGTGTTCTTTTACCAAATGGCTGTATTTTATCTTATTTTTTAATTTAATAGCTTGTTACTAGTGAGGCAATTGGGAGTCTCTTGAGCTTCGAGGTTACAAACTCAAAGCATACTTGTGCTTTCTGCATCTACACTATCTAGAAATGCTCTGTCATCCGACGGGGCCTAAAGATTATGATTTTTAAGTGGAACTAATGTGACTCCTCAATTCTCTTGAGAGTTTTCCTTGTTGTATATCATCGAACGTTTGACTGACAATTAGAAAATATTCTTTCTAAAGCATCTTCAAATTGAATCAAAATTATTAATACTTATTTCATCCTAAACACAAAAGTTTGTAATGGAAAAGGATCATCGTTGCTACCGATGACTCCCTAGATTATGCATGTCTAAGGAACATTCTATAAAAAAAATAGCCAACTACATTGTCTAAGGAGCCCCGGGTTCTAAGTAAGATTGTAATGATCCAATCCATTTCTCCTCGCTCCTAGTTGTATATTAGGGGATCGCAGTCGGCAATTTGGAAACATTCCTTCAAAGATATTACATTCAGCTTAAGGTCGAATGAATTTAATCCAAAAATCTTCATCAATCATCCCCAAACCATGGGCGAAGACCTAAAACTTGGTTAGAGCTAAAGTAATGCTCATTTCTATTCATTCATTAAACGAAAGCTTAGAACTCATTTGGGGTAGCATTCAACCCACTTCATTTCATATGGGTAGAGAGGCCTAAAACTAATCATGAATCACATTTAACTCATCTAATTTCAAATCATGGGTGGAGATCCAATAATATTCAACTCCGCCATAACACTCATTTCTCCCGAGCATCATAATGCTAACATAATTCTTGAATCATGGGTGAAGGCCTAAAACTCGTTTCGAGTTGCATTCAATCCATTCTCTTTCCTTTCATGCATGTGGAGGTCTTTACACTCAAATTGAGTCATTGCAATTCATCTTTCTTTCATACGGACAGAGGTTCTTACACTAAAATCAAGTCCATTGTGACTCATCTTCACGGAGAAATTTACACTAAAATAGAGATTCATCCTTTCTTTCAAGCGGGCGGAGGTCCTTACACTCAAATAGAGCCATTTGCGACTCATCTTCCTTACATGTGCAATGACTCAAGTTGAACGTAAAGTGTTCATTAAAGAAAAAACAAGACCAAATTATGTAGGCTTGTGGTATATTCTATACCTCCGCCCAAAAAAAAAAAAAAAAAAAAAATAGTGAGAATTCGAATCCCGCAAAAATTGAGTGTGAATTTTTTTGTCAATAAATAATTTATACTTGTGTCTCTTGTCATAAGACTGCATGTTGTACACAACAATAAGTGTAATGAAATTTGAGTAGTTGATTGTCCGACACATACACACTTTCATAAAAAAATAAATAAAAAAAGATGATTTTGTAGTTATTTTTCTTGGAAGAATAGTGTCCAATGTAAATTTACAATATATTATAAGTTATTTAAAAAATAATATTATATTTTTATAAAATTAGCTCCTAAGTTTAAAATTAGGGATTTCATTCATAATTATATTAATAGAATGAGCAAAAAAATATTAATTATTTATATTTTTGATATATTTGTGACAAAATATCATATTTTTTGTTTAGAAAAATCTCAAATTTCTATTTTTTTTTTTTTTTATATAAAATAAAGCGCTGGACGTTTCCAAATAATTTGCCCTACCATAATTAGCCTATAAATACAATGCTACTCAACTATTCAACACTCGGAGAGAGAGAGAGAGAGAGAGAGAAGAAATCTGGTGGAGTACCTTCCCATCTTTACCATTTTATTTTCACTAAATTTTGCTAGTGTTATGTTATTTGAATGATGATTATATACACATCTACTATAATCTCAGTTCCGCATACAGATTTGAATACAAAATCTATGTTAGGGCACATAAATCTGGTTTATTTACAGAGTTATATGAATTCTGGGTTGTAATTTTGGGTCTATTGACTGATTAATTCATGTTTGCGTCTACACACACACACATATATATATATTTGTAGTTCTGGGTTTTCACACACAGACACTCTTTATCTTTTTTGAAAGATGATTTTGCGTTTGCTTACATAATCTCTAATCTCTGTTCCGCACCGAGATTTGAATACAAAATCTATGTTAGGGCACATAAATTTGGTTTATTTACATAGTTGTATAAATTTATAATTTTGGGTTTATTTACTGATAAATTCATGTTTGCGTCTAGACGCGCGCGCGCACACACAGATACATATATTGTAGTTCTGGGTTTTCACACACATGAGACTGTTATCTATTTGAAAGATGACTATATTTGTGTTTGCTTACATCGTTTATAATCTCTGTTCCGCACCGAGATTTGAATACAAAATCTATGTTAGGGCACATATATTTGGTTTATTTACACACTTCTATGAATTCTGGATTGTAATTTTGGGTCTATTGACTGATAAAGTACACACAAATGCATATATATATATATATGTAGTTCTGGGTTTTCACACATACACTGTTATATTGGATTCCATATGCTGCTTTTGATTCTGAGGTATTTTGGTCTAATTTTTGTTCAGGTGACCTGTTTCTTAGCTGGAGTATAATGGCAGCGCCCTTTAAACGAAACAATCCATTTGATCACCCTTTCTTTGATTCATCTTATTTATTTGCGGCTGTACGCGCTAGACGGATTTCCGAGAAATTGAACCCTGGTTTTAACTTTCTGAAAAACCCTATTACTACTACCCCCAGTGAAAAAGCTAGTGGTACTTGGTGTCTTTGTTTTTAGTTAATCCTATGCCCCTATATTTTTGTGCTGCTTTTGACACTCAGGTATTTTGGGCTAACTTTTGTTCAGGTGACCTCATTCGTAAAATGTTGTTATTTCGAAAAGAAGATCCATATGAGCACCCATCGTTCACTGATCCTGCTATAACCCACAAAGAATTACACTATGAAGGTAACACTTATAAGCATTCTATCTCAAGCGAAAACACGCCATTACATTCCCCAGTGAAAATGCTAGTGGTACCTGGTGTCTGCATTTAATTAATCCTATGCGACTTTGTTATGAATGTATATATCATAATAGTTTATTTGTTAACAAGTAGAACAAATTGTGGTTCATTCCACAGGGAACCAGAGCTTCAGCTTCCAAAGTGATGCACCTGGTGGACCCGAAGGAATCTGCCACACTTCTTCTATGGCTAGGGGTGCTAGCACCTGTGATGGAGTAAGTTTCTTATTTCTGATGTAGAAGTTTATCAATTAGGGGATTGGATTTCTTATGGTTAATGGTTTATGTTTTTCTTTTTCTCTTTTATTTTTTATGTTTTGGTTACATAAGTTTTATGTTGCCTTTGTTTGAGAAATAGGTGGATCTATTAGAGATAAAAGAAGAAGGAGATAAGACAATGAGTCAACCACTGCAAAATCTATGTTAGTGTACCTAAATTTGGATTATTTATAGAGTTGTATGAGTTCGGGGTTGTAATTTTGGGTTTATTGACTGATAAATTAATGTTTGCATCTACACACACACACATATTTGTAGTTCTTGGTTTTCACACACAAACACTGTTATGTTGGATTCCATATGCTGCTTTTGATTCTGAGGTATTGCGGTCTATTTTTGTTCAGGTGACTTGTATCCTCACTTGCGTAAAACAGCAGTGTTCCTTCAAGAAATGTTAGAAAGCAATCCATTTGATGACCCATTCTTCACTATTCGTCATTTTTTTTAAATCCTGCTTCACGTCATTATCACCAATTTGATGGAAAATCTAGTTCTGAGCGGCAGTTGAAGGAAATAGCTGTTGAAGAATTGCACTCTGATGATAACTCTCAGAAGCATTCATTCTCAGTTGATAAACCAATTATTACTTCCCCCGGTGAAAATGATTGTGGTACCTGGTGTTTTTGCATTTAATTAATCCTATGCGCCTTTGTTTTGAATGTATGTGTCGTCATAGTTTTTTTTGCTAATAAGTAAACAAATTGTGGTTCATTCCACAGGTAACCAGACCTTCAGCCTCCAAAGTGTCGCACCTGGTGGACCTGAAGGGATGTATCACACTTCTTCTATAGCTAGGGGTAGCACTGGTGGAGTAAGTTTCTTATTTCTGATGGAGAAGTTTATCAATTAGGGGATTGGATTTATTTTTATCTTTTGGTTGCATAACTTTTATGTCGCCTTTGTTTGAGAAATAGGTGGTTCTGTTAGAGATGAAAGAAGAACATAAGACAGTGGGTCAAGCACTGCATACTACTGCTAAAGGGATCAAAGGGAAGGTATTTGACTTGATGTTCTTTTGTAGTCTCTGGAGAAGCATGACCATAAATTGTTTTTTAATTTATTTTTTGGTAATTTTTTATTTTACAAGTAAGTGGAGGACCCCACTTATGACCATAAATTGATTCAATATAATTAATTTTTATTTATTTATTTAGTTAATTTCTGTTTTTTTTTTGAGGAATGTTTGCATCATACCAAAGTCTTTTGGTTTCACTTCTTGCTCTTAGGGGCCTATCCTACATCAATAAATTATTTTAAGGATAGGGATCTAATAATAAACACTGTGACTGCTTAATTTATAAGGTTGAGTTGAATTTGAGTTAATTTTTTTTAATTTTATAAGTAATTGAATTTGAGTGAAATTGTCTCATATAAGAACAATTTCAAAACTTTATATATATATAAACTATTTTCGAACCAGAAACCTGCATGCAAATGTCAGATGATGGTCAATCTCTTAAATAAAAATTTCAAAATCCATCACAAGAATCCACTGAAACATTCTTCCATGAGCATTTCTTCAATCGACTCCGATAGTTTCGAAAGTGTGTTTGACCCATATTATATGTCGATGTCCGTGTCGTGGGCACAACACGGACCTTGAGGTCTAACATGGCAAGTCCAGGGAACATAGCTTCCTTGCATCCTCCCTTATAAATGCCGGCAACTTGTCTTCCCAAGTCATGTGCGATGTCACATGTTCATTGATTTCTTGACATCTTTGTTTAACCCATGCCAGGACATTAAATTCTTGATTGTCTAGCGTATTATGGCTGATCCTACAATCATCTTACAAGTTTGTTTCTTCAGTTTGATAGGCGTCGTTGATTGCAGGACTGAAAAACTCATGCACTCTCTGATAATTCTGTGATTTGATTCTTAATTTGATATTATAACATCGTGTATTAGTACCACTCTAAAATTGGGGAAAGAACAAAAAAATATGCTATGTGCTATGAGGGATTCTCTTTCTTGGATTATATTTTGTGCAGTAATTATTTGTTTCTCTTATTATATGTAAATACAATGTGTAACAATGGTATTTTTTTCCCGTAATGTTTATTTTTTTATGCAGGTAGAATCATAATGCATTTGCTGCCATGGGATCTCCCATGGCCCATTTAAAATAACATGTTGTATTCCCAGTTAATTGCCTTGGTCTGCTTGTTTATTGCATTTGCAAGAAATAATTGGTTATCTGCTCTTTAGTTTGAAACTTGGATGTGACTTTCTCACAGCTGAGTATTGGAGGGCTAATTCTGCTTTTACAGGCTTTCATGATGTCTTTTGATGTGATGTGGCTCTAAGAATTGCATTAACAGTGTTGTTTGCTATTTTTTCCTGAAACGTATCCTTGGTTAAATTCACCATTTTCCCCAATGTGTAGAGGGTAGCCGCAGAGGATGGAGTGGGCACCAGATTTGGGATGATTGGGTCTCTGCCATCTGCCGAGCACGAAGGAATGAAACCAGATGCCGGAGCTAAGACTCTTTCTTCTGGGCCGAGAATTAAAAAAACCAGATATTAATAGGACTAGCTGCTTAGTGGTTTAGCTTTGATGATACTTGTGGTTCTCCTCCTCCTGACTTATAAATATGGGTTTGTGAAAAGTAACTGTGTAACTTTCTTGTTGCCATCTAACTTTCTTGTGTAATTCCAAGTTGAACAACGGAAATCTTAGGTATCTTAGATACTAGATTGTTTGATATGTCTTATGAGAGGAGATTTATGGTATCAGTTTATCTTTGATGATTCATTATGCGTCTAGACGAACTCATAGTTAATTGTAACTGAAAACACAAGAAAAGAGTCAGTGAATATTTCGTGTCTGTGCATATTTATACAGGTATCGGTGTTGTTCTATACGTATGTTCAATTCAGTGCAGGTATGTCGGAAGGAAAGAGACTTTTTCAAATTGTTAAACGTTGCCTTTTTAGGTTCAGTCGAGAAAAACTTTATCCAGTCTCAGGACATTTTAACCACCCAACAACTATAGGATAAACAAGTGAATTTCTAATAATTGTAGGCTTCCATCAAGGATCGTCATCATTGGTTGTGGATTAGATTACAACGTCGAATATGAGATTCCATGATGTATGTTGTTTGTCGGTGAAATTGTTTTAGTTGATGAAACCAGAGAAGGAGATAAAGCTAAATTGGAGGTTTGGGGAGAAACAACTTTAATAAATCTAGAAATTTAAATGATGGCCTGTTTCTTTTAGAGAGAAAGCACGCTAATACCTAGAGATTCATACCCAAATGGACTGTGGGATGCAAAATATGTCAACTGTTTTGTTGAAAAATGTTGTGGAGCCCCATTTTGTTGAAAATATGTCAACTCCAAAGAAATGTTGTGGGTTCATTGGGTTAACACCTACCAAATCAGAGGAAGAAGTATATGGGAAGTGAAGATTCCATGGCAGTGCTCTTGGAGCTGGATGAAGCTTCTTCAACTTAGGTTATGAATCAAGCCCTTTGTCAAGGTTGAAATTGGAGATTGAAGTTTGTCCAATTTGTGGTTTGACAATTGGTGTTTACTTGGACCATTGCACTTACTTATCCCTCCACAGCAGCTAATTCATTCAGGCTATGATGCCAAAACTAAGTTGTGCTCATTCATTAATGGCTCTAATTTGTCCTTCCCACCCTCCATCACAGATATTCTACCTTAACTTCTACCTATAGCCAGACATTTTTTTTTTTTTTAGTTGGAAAAACTCACATACACATGCCTCCATTGAGGTTCGAACCCCTAACCTTCCTTTGCAAAGTAGGGGTCTGATACCGCTAGGCCACAGGCCCGTTGGTACCTATAGCCAGACTTCCCACACCAGCCCCACAAAAGCAAGACAAGTTCATTTGGATTCCATCCCCAAATGGGAAATTCACAATTGCATCTACAATGAAACACCTCAACCAGAACCTACCCTTACTTCCCTGGACTCACCTGGTTTGGTTCAAGCTAGTTCTCAATTCCAAAACATGCATTTACTCTCTGGGTTGCAATTCAGCATCGACTCCCAACCCTAAACAGAAGGTGTACTGCCTACCTCAACACCACCATTTATCTCCTATGCAACAATGATGTGGAAGACCATCTTCTCTTCAAATGCCCCTTTGTAAGACCCTTACTGACCTTTCTATAAGCTCATTGTGGGTTTTAAATCTTGCCTTCCAACTGGTCTGTTTTAGTATCTTGGGTTGCTTAACAATAGAGAGGCAACAATCAAGCTCACTGCAACTCTGTATCCAAACTAGCCCTCTCATCTCTGGTATATAATATATGGAATGAGCCTAACAGAAGGTCGTTCAAGAAGAAAAGGTTATCCGCAAACACTCTCTTTCATATCACATTGGAGCCTGTTCGTTTGAAGCTGATGTCTTCATCACTCATTGACTCAATCCACACCAGACGTCTAATTGTGGAGTGGGAGCTACCATCTGATGTTCTACGGCCACCTCTAGAGCCACCAGATTGTTAAGGTTGAGGAACATCATCCCCTATTCTAATCATCTCTGTATGCTTTCATACTAAATGACCTCAAAGAAGGGACATTTTAACCACATACCCAGTCATAGCTTAGTACTCTAGCAAGGTATCTACGCCGCCCATCAACCACTAGAAAGTCAACTACCAGTCTACCACCATAACCTTCTCAGCCTCTCCGACCACAAATTACGTTGGGCACACAGGCTTTACACATGGTCAATCTGGATCGTTTGTCGGACACCACACACGTGCTAGCCACTTCACCTTGGCTAAGCCTACGCTGATTGCCACTGCACCTTCATGCGTCCACAATGAGATTCCATGATGTCTATTATTTATCAATGATACTGTTTTAGTTGATGAAAGCAGAGAAGGAGATAATGCCAAATTGGAGGTTCGGAAAGAGATTTTAGAATTGAGAGGGTTTAAGATAAATAGATACAAAATTGAATACACGGAATTTAAATTTGGTAAATCTAGAAATATAAACATGGCTTGTACGTTCCGTTATGGAAACTGCAAAGGAGGTGTACCAAGAATTAAAATCAAGAGGCACAAAAAAAAAAAAACAAAAATGATCGTTTTCGTTGTTTAGCTTCAATTATTCATAATGAATGAGAAATTGGAGATAATGTTAATTATAGAATCAAAGCAAAATTGGTTAAATGGAGGAGTGCATCTAGTATATTGTGTGATAGTTTGTCCCTTTAAGATTGAAAGAGAAATTCTATTAAACTGCTTTTAGACACTTACTTTATGTAACATAATGTTCGGCAACTAGTAAACCTACTAATACAAAGATTGTGGTGAACATGCGAATGTTGAAATGGACGTGGGGTAGGACTAAAAATGATAGAAATAATCACATTCGAGAGATGTTTGTAGTAGCGCAAATTGGCAATAAAATGAGTGAAAATTGGTTAAGATGATTTGGAAATATGCAAAGAACACCTTTAAATTCTCCACTTAGAATGTGTGACATAGTCCTCATTTAGTATAATACAATGAGAAGAAGAAGAATGAAGTTAAAATTAGTAGAGTTAGTAAATAAGAATATGATATGATTTTAATTTTAGATAGAGCGGAATGAAAATATATATATGATTCATATAATCGATCACAATGAGTTGGGAAAAAGCCTTTGATTATTGTTGTTGTATTCGTAAGAATGACTGCTTCCATCCTAGTTGTACCTAGCAGAACTTTGACGTGCACGAGTTCATCAAGCCATTTTGATTGAAAGTCAATCATAGTGATTTAAGTGAATCTCATAATTCATATATCTAATTAAAATGTAGGATTACCTGGGATAAAA